TATATAAGTACAATTTATCCTAATTGGCAAAATTAATTAATTCCAAAATAATCGTTAAGACTTATAAATTTTCCTCGGAAAAAATTTTAAAAAAATACAAAAAAAGATGAGTCGTAAACTCAATCTCTAATATGTATTTGCGCTTCACAATCAAGATCGACTTATATATTTACTCTTTAAATCAAGAAAGTGTGGGTAGTATAGACTACCAATGAAATACAAGTTGTATACAATATTATTATTCAAGAGTCCATTGTGTCTTCTCTTTTTATCCCTTTTCTTTTCTCGGTTGCTTGATCTCTCTTATTTCATATTACTCGATAGCATCTGTTGTTTTATATATTAGTACAATGAGAGTCCTGCTATCAGTTATGTTTATTAGTATTGCATTTACAATACTTTAAATACTTTTTTAATAAATCTATAGAAAAAATACAAAATTAAAAGATGTAGTGATATCAACTTTTGAAATAAATGACAGAAAGAATAATAAAATTACTTTTATGTCTCTATTGCTCCTCTTAGACTATCAGCAAACATTTGAAACATAGTCAACCGGACACAATATCACTGCTGGATGTGACTGTGACAGGAATTTCTGAATTGCCGGCACATTTCCTCGAAGATGTCGCACTTCATGGATTAGTTGTCTCCACCGGAGAGTTGCGATACGTTCATGATAACGCATTTACAGCCCTGGCGCGACCATTACAAGCGCTAGGACTGCCCAGCAATCTCCTAGCTTCAGTTCCCACAATTGCACTATCACATCTAGTCGGTCTGGACCGATTGGATCTATCTCATAATAAATTAAAAACATTAGAAGCAGACTCATTCAAGGTATGATTAATTACGAGAAATAAAAGTATTGTGTGTGTGTGTGTGTGTGTATATATATATATATGAATTCTTTTTGTAATAAAGAGAACAATTTATGAAAAGTAATTTTGAAGAGATTGATTATAAAGAGTAATAAAATATTCTGTTTCAGGGACTGTCAAATTTGACTTATCTAGACTTGTGTGACAATCTACTGTCACAATTGTCGCCGCAGGTTTTTTTAACATTACCGGCATTACGTTCACTAAGAATGCGTGGAAATCGCCTGAGTGTTTCTGCCTTATCCGCGTTAAGAGGTTTGAAGCGCTTGGAAGAACTAGATCTTTCGAACAATTTATTGCTGGGTCCGATGGGTCCCAATTTATTGCCACAAATGCCCAAACTACATTTCCTTACAGTCTCAGAAAACAGTCTCGTCAATGTCCAGCAAGGAGCTCTCATGGGGCTCAGAAATCTTACTTATCTCAGTTTGAGTCACAACCAAGTGAGTGTATTCGTTTAGAAGTTGAGTTTATAAGTTAGAGAAATCTCGTTCAAAATAATGTAAAAAGATTAATTACTTCAAAATTATTTTATTTAAATTATTAAATATTGATTTGCAGATTGATGTGTTAGAGGATCATTCGTTTAAGTACCTATCGACTTTAACACGACTGGACCTGGCAAACAACCGTATCGTCGCCGTGTCTAGTGCTTCCTTGGCTCATTTAGAAAAATTAATGTATTTAGATTTAACGCATAATTTTTTGCGTGCGTTGACGGCCGATTTGGTGGTGCCATTGAAAAGTTTACAAGATCTACGATTGGATGACAATGACATCACAATTGTAGCTAACGATGTGCTAACATCAAAGCTGCGCCTCAAGAAGCTCTCCCTCGCCGACAATCCGTTAAATTGCGATTGTACCTTGCTGGAGTTTGCTAATTGGCTGGCAAACTCCAGTCTAACAGAAGAGGACAAGTCATCGGCAGTGTGCGCGACACCACCTGCCTTAGAAAATGGTATCCTAATGCAAGTACCGCCGGGCAGTCTACTTTGCGGCGAGCCCACACCACCCATGATGACCCGGGAACATCCGGCAGGTACACAACTAAGTCTCAAAGAATTTCACTACGATGAATCAACCGGTATCAATTTATTGTGGCATGTGGAGCAGTGCGCTGAACGTTACACTTGCGATTCGCTTATCGTCTATGAAACAATTGACGATAGCGAGATTCAAACAGAATCCAGCCCGCTACACTGTGATTCCCGGATGATGCGAGATCCCTGCATCTTACCGGTCACCATACCAGTCTCTCTACATCTACAATTGCATCACAAATATCGTTATTGTGTAGTTTTATTAATACCCAACGTTTATGACGATGTATCCCTTGGTCTAGGTTGTAGCGACGTCATCGTTTTAGAAAAGACTCAGCAGCGAATAGCGACGGAAGATCAGTACGCGAAAGAAGGGAATTCTCGTTCTCCAACGTCTACGCAAATATCTCTTGATTCCTATTCACGGATCACTGGTGTTCATGTAAATGTATCTGATGATAAAAGCTATTTGCACATCGATGTAATTCTTTCGAAAACAAAAGACACGATTATTGATTCATCATCAACTTGCCAATTATCAATCTTCATATTCAACGAGATCTCCGTAGTACATCGACAGAGACTCAATTGTAGCTCCGCATCCGTCATCGATGTGGATGTGTCATTGCCGGGTTATTACAGGGTATGCGCCAGTTTGGATGAACTCACCAATATTATTGTGATGTCTGGTAATTTGGTAGACGATCGCGAGAGGTTCCGTTGCGTTGAATTAATCGAGCAGAGTTACAGCAGGCGAAACGTTGAGATATTCATTATTATGGCCGTGATCGCTGCTACCGGTGTTCTCCTTGTTCTCCTTGCCATACTCAGCAGAAATCTTGTAAGGCGTCTGCGACATCCAAGGATACAAGCTCAATGCTTTTTGCCGGCCCAGGAATTTGAAATTACTCACAAAGCTCATTATATTAAACTCTTAGCGACAACGAAAGTTTAACAAGAAAGGTATTGATGACGAATTCAACATTGTTTTTTAGAATTCAAGATTCCAAATTTAAGAATTCAAAAATGGAGATATAGAAGCAAAACTGGCACATTTTCTCATTCTCTCTGACGAAATATTAAATTAAGTGTGTAATTTTATTCTACACTTTTCAAACTGCATTATTTCTATAAACAAGAACATGTAGCAAAAACTAATTTTAGCGTACTTAGTCTTATTTAAATGGTTATTTTTAATTTTAATTAAACATGTGTGTTAAAGTTACTTTTCTAAATTCTGAAACGAGAAGGAAGATATAATTTATTCACGTTCTGTACATAACCGAGATGTTTTTTTGTTAAAAATCTTGCAAAATGGACAATGTAAGTTTTGCTTTTATGTGTCTCGAATTTATTTTCGAAAATTGATCTAAATAAATACATATAATACACAGTAGACTATACATAATAAGTCAATATATATGGGAATATTATAAAATGTAATATGATTGAAAATTATTTGGTATTTAAATACTTTAAATAATTAATTTTTACAAAATTTTTATGTCTCAATATATATATATATA